GACTCTTGGAATTTGGGTAATTAAAGAAATGACCTTCACATGTTTCATTCTGCCATAAATACAAAATAAAATTAAATTCTCTCTTATAATATATGGGTCAATTAACAAATGGGCTTTCTATAAATTGCTTTTATACAAAAATAATTTCAGTGTTGCTTTCTTTCTTGTGTTTTCATACAAATATAAGGGTCTAAATTAAAGTATTTTATGATTCATTTTCAACAAGTAACAAAAATAAATAAAAGGTATTAAGGATATTTTTTTTAAAAAATAAAAGGTTAAAAAAAACTTTTAGATAAAAGAAAAGATAAAGACATGCTCACCCTAAGGGTACATATTAAGTTGTCACAAAGATATAAATGCTTTTGTAAATGATTAAGTGAACTAAAATCTAAGAGTTCCATTAAAGGTTTTGTAAGGTCAAAATTTAATGTACTGATGTTAAATTAAAACTTAATTCTCTAAGCTCATAACAACAAGGCTATCTTTAAAATATTGTATTGTTCTTAATAACATTTACAAAAAAGGTCTTAAAATTTTTTTCATGATAACTATCAGAAATTTTTTGTGCTGCAAGTTAATCCACAATTTTGTCAAGACAACAAGAGTTTACTAAAACAAAAACAAAAAAAAAATAACAAGAGACAGATGAGGACAGGGAATACTGCTTCACTGATATATGGGTTAAGACAAATTTACTTATGTAAATTTCACCCTCCAGATAAAATAAAATAAAAGAAAAACTCAAAAAGGAACACTACACTGAAAGTCAAGACCTCAGTTTTTATTGTACTCAACACAGCACAGGTGTTAATACTACTCCTTCCACATATGGAGGGAATTTTTGCCCTGGGATGCCCAAATTGGGCTTGTTATTTTGGGGGCTCCATTGACTACAGGTTGGTGGGATCCTGTTGTATGTCATGAGCCATATGTTAATGTCAACAATCTGGGATGTGATCCCTTATCAACATCTGAGCCATGATTCTTGGCCACTATGTTTCCCAACTTCACATTTAGTTCCCATAAATATTTACCTGTATTCTCTGGTGATTTTTGTCAGGGTTTTAACTACTAAGGTAACTGAGTTATGTTCATTTAGGAGTTGGTTTATGTTGGAGTTAACAATAAGAACAGCCATGTTAAGACCAGACCCCCTCCCCCATGCAGATGGCTTACCTTTATCTCCCTGGATAGATGCCAAGGACAGTTGGGCAGACAGTGACCTAACTACAACTTATCTTTCTTGGTTGCCCAGCAGCAATATCCCTTAGTGACCTTCCTGGTATTTTTCCACTAGCCCCCTATATCTATCCCAAGCCTCTATATGGCAATGGGTGCTACCTCTCTTGCTGGAGTCTCCATCCACAGGGCTCCTGCCTAAACAATAAACCCTGTACTGGTGTTTGAGCCATCTCTCTGCCTTTTCCATGCCTCTTATTTTCTAACAGTTTATATAAAACTTTTAGATGACCTCATGGTTAAACAACTGTTGTCTTGGATGATTCTAATACAGTTGGTACCTATATGTGTCTGTGACTGGGCTATTTGGGTTTACTAAATCTGTTCTTTCCTCCTACAACTGATAAAAATCTAAGGTTTTACTTCAAGAACAACTAAACTAATATGTATATATAACCCCTATAGGGTTGTGATGCTGCTGCTGATTCCTTTATATTAAAATATTTATGTTTTTCAAATATATCAAACCTTCTAAAATATAAAATTTAGATAAACACAGTAACAGAAAGTGGTACTGATATACTGTCCTGTTAGTTGCTAAAATTGTCCATCAAAATTTTAACCATGACTCTTAAGTTTTTGTCATTACAATTTTGATCCTTCTGGGGCATTTACAATGAAATCCATAAAAATGACTCTAATAACTACTTACTTTACTTTTTAGACATCTGCTTTTGTTAGATTTTATTTTGTATTGTCCTTGTATAGAAGCGCACTTCCTAAGAGCTACTCCTTCTAAGCCTCTTTGTTGCTTAAATTTGGCCAAAAGTGTCTATTTGGCACTGAATCCCACCTGATCTGTTTGATATTTCCCCCCTGAGGTGAGACCAAGACCAATCAAACAAACAAAATCCAGAAAAGAGTAAATCCTGACAATGAAAAAAATGACTAATCAAGAAAAGACTAATCAGTCTACAGCTCTACCACCCTGAACGCGCCAATCTCGAATGATCTTGGAAGCTAAGCAGGGTCAGGCCTGGCTAGTGCTTGGATGGAAGACAGATCTTTAGAAGAAACTGCTCAGAGCAAGCATTTTGGAGACAAAGGTAGTGTGCTACCAAATTTCAAATGCAGTCACTGGTGCTAGATCTCTCAAAAATAACCAAGGCCGAGAGGATTAAAGAAGTGGTTCTAACCATGTGTGACTACCTGGCACTGAAGCCCTTCCACACACAAACTCATATTTTTAGACAGGGTCTTCTACTTAAATAGAGACAAAATAACTATTTTTACTGGTTCTAAATATGTCCTTTGATACTCGAAAATGGTTGTTTTAACTTTTTTTCAAACAACGCGTTTTCTTGAACATATCTACTGATAATATATTGTTGCCATGGTAATTCTACACAATTTAAAAAAAGAAACATTGTCTAGAAAAAAAATGTCCACCCATTAAAACCCCATTGGAGATTCCCTTTTGTTGTTATCTTGCCTACTACTACCACTGCAGTTAAAGTAGCAGTGATTGCTCCTTGGATCCACCACAGTTGAGTCAAGACAGCTTCTCTCCAGTGGGAGTGCATCCCTTATTCAGCTTCACCATGCAGGATCACCCTCTGGAACCCGAGCACCCTCCCTCAGCAGGACTCTGATTCCCAGGAAACAACAGGGGACCAAGAGCAATGGGACAACAGCCGTACTCTTGTCACCCACTGAAAGCTGACTATTTATGTACGGCAGAAGCTTGAGGAGTCCACTCTCCAAAAGGACAAATGGGGTATTTTTTTCACATCAGTTATTTCACTGTAGTGTATTGTCACCCCTTGTCTGTATCTGTAGCTGTAGTTCTTTGCCATAGGCTAGGTAGAAACTTCCCCTGCTGATCTCATGGTGAAAGGTTTTTATTTGCTCTCTTCTATCTCTTTTGAGCAGGATGCATAATTACTATTTATTACTACTGATCTGGTTTAACAGAGGGCTAGATATGCAGCGCTCCTTCACAAGGGGAAAGCTGCCCAAACTGCACCCATGGCACGTGTAACCCTGTAAATTTCTCTGTACTTAAGCCATCTGATTAAACATGGGAAAAGTACTTAGTATAAAAATAGATAAAAAGGGTCTTGACCGTGAGAGTCTGATACACCTCAAATTAGTAACTGTTACCCATGATAGTTCCTCATACCAAGTTTTTCATTCCTTTTATAAGAGATGAAAAGTAAATTTTCCATCTCTGCCAAAGCTAAAAACTTGTTCCTCTCACTGGCTGAGTCTATAGCCCTGACACTTCATGCTATGTTTGTTGGGGGACCAACATGGGAGACCATTTGGCTTAGGAAAAAGATGACAAATGGCCTCCTGAGTAAATCATCCAGTACTATGGTCCTGCCACCTGGGCAAAAGACAGTCCTAGGGCTATTGCACCCCAATATACATGCTCAATCGCATCATCAGCCTACAAGCTGTTGGTAAAATTAACAACAAGAGCCCTCAATTTTATGACAAAGCAAAGCACCAAGATGCATAATGCCAGCTATCAAAAAAGCTAGGCTTTAGACTATTTGCTTGCTTCTGAGGGAGAAAAAGGTTTATAAAAAAAATTTAACCTAAACAACTGATACTTACAAATTAATGATTAAAATAAGTATAAAAGGGATCACAGACAAAACAAGAAACTTTCCCATGTCCCTGTCCAGACTTGGAGAGAATGGGATCCCAGGGGCCTGTTGAAAGGATGGTTTTCTGCCTTAGGTGGATTCAAAACCCTGATGGAGCAATGGGCCTAATTCTAAAAACCTGCTTAATATTGCCCTATGTGGTTCCCCTGGTGTGTGGTTTATCAAAACTATTATGAACGCCATTGTAAAAGAAAAATGGCCACACATGTAATAATGCTATAAAAATACAAATCCCTAAATAAAGATGATGATCTTTGACCCTAAGTGTGTCCGAGCATCAAAGGGGGGAATAATGTAGCAGGGAGGAGGATCAGAAGAAAACATACTACTCCTGAGTCCTGAAAAAAGTAGCAGGTTGTAGGGATAGCATAGCAGAGAGATAAAACCTGAGAAATATGAACATGAGGAAGGTCATGTAGCACTAGGATGAAGTAGCCAACAAAATTAAATATAACCATATATGGATTAGACCTTGCTTTTTGCTTCTATAACCTGCTTGCAAGGTTATATAAGGTGAGACCCCTTTGTTCTCAGGGCTGAGCCTTTGGACATGAGACAGCTGAGTCTGTGCTGGCACAATAAAACATTGCTTCCTGCTAATTGCCTCAAGAGTCCTATATCTCAACTAGCAAACTCCCACATTTCTTGGGGGCTCATTGTACGGATTGTGGAGATAGTGCGTTATCTTCTAGAGACTGAATAAGGAGCGATTTAGAAAAGAACAGGTGTCAACCAAGACCAAGATGAAGCCATGGGAGAAATCTGAAGATGCCATTTCCCAATGCCCCACCAGGGCCCTCTAGTCTTTGGTCCAGGGGATTGCAGGTCAACTTGTCCCCTGTGTTCCCCCATGGAGCTGCTGGAACTAAGTTAACCTGAATGTGCCACCGAGAACAGAAAGATGCTTAGCCAATGAACATTCAGGACGGAACCTCTTCCTGGTTTGGGCTTGCGCTTGGGGTGGGACTTCCGGTCTCCTCCTGTGGCGCTGTTGTGTCTCATCTGGGTTCTGTGCAGCTTTTCTGACTGGAGGAACGTGGAATCAGGATCAGGATTATGCAAGTGGAAATGCAAGGACGTGGCGGGATTCGGTTGTCCACAGTGCACCGCGGCTTCTCCTACGGACATTTGTAGTGATGGCCTTGACGTGTTACTTCCATAGCCTCTGAACAGCATGGCGACCTCTGCGGGGAAGAACGTGCGCCAGGTAAATACCGTATGTTTCCGCCAAACTGACCTCAGGCCACCCGAGTGATAGGTCACGGTTTGGGGCTCCTCATTGAGTCTCTACACTCCAGTCTTTTTGTCCTGGTCACATGGTGATATGGTTCGGGCGTCTCTGCACTCAAATGCTCTACCACTTTTACGTATACCCAATTTTTTTTTTTTTTTCTGAAGTTCTTCGGGTTCGAACTCAGGCCTCGCTTTCAAGGCAGGGACGCTACTGTTTGAGCCAGGCCTCGAGCCCGCTGCGTCCAGATTTCTTAAGCTGGTGAATGAGTTTGGGGAGGCTCCTCCACCAAACTCCCAGTGATGGCAGCGTTGATCCCCGTGTTGTTCTTAAGCACGAGGTGGACAGACAGACATCATCTAAACTCAGAGACTGGAATCCGAACTCGGCAGAGTCGCATAGTGGTCAGGAAAGGGAGGTGAATTGAAGTTCAAAATAGGACTCCCGGGTGTGGTGATGGGCACCGTAAACATGGTGTGCAGATGTGAACACTGCAGCCTGTGGGACAGGACAGTCCGGTAGGGTGTCTTCATGGTGCCACGGGTGATTCACGTGTGGATGCTGATGTCTGGGTGTAACTGAGCAACGCGATGCTGAAGCCAAGATCTTTGCTTTTTTGCTGCACTTCAGACTCACCAGTTTTGTGGTGAGCCTTGGTGTATCTGGGGTCTTTTAAGAGGTGTATTAGTTGCTTAGGGCACAGTGGTCATAAGCTACTGTGAATGAGTCTGAAGAGGAAGACCACTCAGGCTAGACAAAGAATGAGAATTATTGGCGGGACAAAATCTGTAACTAGAGAGCGGACACGAATGGCACAATGGGTGGTATAGGGCCAAGGATGTTTTCAGATCCATTGGTGGCTCTTGGAGCCTGAGGATGAAGCAAGAAGAGAGTCAGGGAGGAAGGCTTTTAGACTAGGTTGTGAGGCTGATTGTGGCGTTGGGGACTGGCAGTGCACTGGGATCATTTAGATCATATTTCTATTTTCTTTGTAGTCTGGATACCTGCTGTTGAATTACATATAGGTACAACAGTGATGTCCCTAGGAGGTGGGAGTGGGTAGGAGTGCCTGTGGATGTGGGGCATTGTGAAGTAATAACGAGGGCTTAAGAAATGTGGAGGAGTCCTGTGGAATAGTGTCCTTAGGGTCCTGGAATTGAGTATATGAATAAAGGGTGCCATAACATATTGCAGGTGAGTCTGGATTCCCCAGGAGTGCCTTTGTGAGACTCCTCTGAGTTTGGATACCAGGCTGTTAATTTAGATGATGTCTGTTCATCTCCTTGATAGTGTAGAACAACACAGCGATCAGTGCTACCATTAGCTGACAGCAAGCATCTGTGGCAGTGGAGTCTGTTATGCCCTGTGGGGTAGAGAGTTTGACATGAGGGAGAGCAGGGGATGGATGAGTGGGGCAGTGAACTTGGAGTCCTGGGAGAGAAGGTGAACATAGATTAAACTTCCTAATAGAGGCAACACTACCTTTCCACAGCCAGAGTGTTGGTCTGGTAACATCCCCCCGATCCATAACTATGAGATAGCTGTTACTTCTAAATAGACTTGAACTCTCTACCCAGTCTTCTTGATAACCTTGTCTGCTAGTGGAGGAGCCTGAATTTGAGGGTGGAGCTGCCCTTTATGATTCTGTTACTGTAAGCCTGTTAAAGACTTGAAACTGTAGCCATACAGATATCCTCAGGACCAGTCTAGAGGGCAGTATCTCCACCTAGCCTTGGGTTGTCTCTCCTGTTCCTAATTTATCCTCTGAAGTGCCCCAGTGCCAAACCAGCTCTTCAGTCAACAGTACATGAAAATCTGTACATAGTGTTCATTTGCCTTCCAGATAGGAGACATGCAGACTGTCTCAGTGAGTCTATGCATGATGTGTCCTTTTGAATCAGTAGCATTTACAAACAGCTGAAATCATGATATCTGCACAACACAACAGTTATAGAGAGTCCTGCTCCACCTGTAGTGTCTGATGCCAGCTACCATGCTGAGGGACCTAGCTTGGGATTTGGTCTCATAGTCAGGGACCCATAATATCACTGCACCTGAGGATAGGACCTTGTGAGGTAACTGCCACTGTCACTAAATTTTATGTCCTTTGTTGCTAATGGTAGAGACCCAAAATATGAGGAAATCAATTTAAACCCAAGTGTTTTTAGTGCTGGTATGTGTTCCTGGCAGCAGGACCACTGTGTGTAAATCCTGTTGAGGGAGTTGGGAGCATGTTGGTGAGTAGAGGCATTTTACCTTTATTCTAAGTGTGCCAGTAGCCATGGTACATTGTGAACAGAAGAGGTACCTTGTCTCCTTTAGGCTTTTCAAAGTTTTCCAAAAGCTGCTCCCAGTTAAAAGAAGGCAGATGGTGACACTGAAGTATAGGGAAACTCTCCTGTGCTGTGTCTCAGAGCATTTCAGGGTCAGCATTTAGGACTGAGGTTCAGCTAATTCCATGATCTAGGCCTCCTGGCTGCAGTGTGGACTGAGCCTGTGGAGGTCCTTTTGGTTTTCCCCTGTCAACTTGTGCCCCTAAACATGTGATTGGCACTGAGTGGAGGATGTTCTAGTGCCTCACTCACCCTGACCTCACACACTGTCTCTGGGTTATGTCTGGGACTCCTGCCACTGTTTCAGCCCTTGAGCCTAGGGATTCTGAAACAACCTGAGTGTAAAGGTGCAATTCCTTGGAACTAGTGGAATAGGGTGAAAAGTTATCCCAGGCACAGATGTCAGAATGTACAAATGCAGTGAGGAGGATGAACTGTTTCCAGGACTGTAGGATGTTGTTCACATAGGAGCTGTACACATGGGTGTGGCACAATGGCTCTATAGAAAACTAAGATTTTCTTGAGGAGATGATGGGAGCAATGGGCAGTTGGCACAGAGGAGGAAGTGGATGTGACCCATGTCTTAGCAGGTTCCCTGTGAGTAAAACATGGAGAACAGATTGTGAGGTGTGAATGAGGTAATAGGAAGATTAGGGAGGAGGCTGCTACCAAGATCCAGGTAATGTTTGATTATGGTTTGAGCACTATGGTTGGGGAAGAATTGGGAAATGTGTGAATCTAGGATCTCTATATTAATTAGGGGGCAAAGTTTAAAAAATTTCATTTAAATATCTTAATGGATTTATTTTAAGTTCTATCGTCCAACAACAATTCACTCTGTAAAAGAGAGTAAGTGTACCATTGGTCTGGGTTAATGAAGTTGGTTTTATATACAGAGAATGACTAAAGAGATCAAAGACAGAACAAGAAAAAAGCAGATTGTAAATCCCAATGTTGCTTTCCTTGAAGATGAAAAAGGTAGGCAGAAAAGGACAATAGCTGATTTGTTAATATCAGAGTATTTCAGGTTACTTTTCATTTTCTTTGTTTATTTGTTTGTTTGTTTTCTCTTGGTTGTGCTGGGGTTTGAACTGCATTTATTACTTGAACCACACCTCCATCTCAGGTTGCTTCTTTTTCTTTTTTTCCTGTATTCATTTATTCAGATGTGCATACAATGTTTGGGCCATTCTCAGGTTGCTTCTCCATGTTGAGATTAAGTTCATTTTCCTGTCTGGAGAAACTGGCCTTTTTAGGAAATTGTACTAACCTACATTTGCTGATTTTGAGGATAAAGGAAGGGTGAATGTTAAGGGTGAATCTAAGATTTTGAATTTTTACCAATTGAGAAAACAATGTCTGTTGTAGGAACAATTTTAGTGGAGATATCAAGATATTTGGATTTTCACCATCTAAAGAGTGTTAATGTTTGAAGGAAGCATCACTAGAAACCTGAAGAGGGCAGATGTCTATAGAGGTGTGAAACTCTTGAGAAAATTCCTGATGGAGACATGGGAACGGTGGTGACCAGTGTCTGTCTTGTGGTATATCTGTAACTTGGTCGATTGCAGTATGAATGGGGAATCTAATCATGAGATGATTGTGTCATGAAAGATTAGGCTGAACTGGGTCTGAAATATACCACCTAGGTGGGGTGGAGCCCATCTAAAAACAGGTGTGGGAGAGAAGAGGTCATGAGAACATCCTAGCTGTCAATATGGTCTTGTAGGCTATCAGAACATTCAAACGATTAGGATTGAGGCCTAGAATAATTGCTGTGAGTTGGCACGTCAATCACAGATAGTCCTTTTATTCACTCAGGTATAGGCGTGGTGAGGATGTTGTGACTGGTGAGAGATATCAAGTGCAGCATTAGTAGTGAGGGCCACCAGGAATGTAAGGATCAAGTTCTTAGTGGCAAAGGTGCATGATCATTGTAACTTTCAGAGTAGTGTGTTGCCTCTAACAGTGGGCACAACTGTGTCCTATTTGTGACAACCACAGTATGGACACTTTATGCCTAGATGAACAGGGAGGGCGAGAGGTACCTACATTATGGAGCCAGAGGGTAGAAATAGCTGGGGAGCGTGTGTGTGACACCTGAGGTCCAAAAAGTGATGTGCACCTAGAGGGAGCATATGAAATGCTGATCCTGTGGACTTGCTGTAGGTGACATGAAGCTGAAAGGTGAGCCCACATTAGGGCTCACTACTCATTACTAAGTAGTAATGTCTGGAGGACACTTGTGCAATTGACTCATGTGAATGGATATTGCCCTGTATGCCAATTCCATAGTTAGATTGTGTCACCCTCATCAACTGCATTAGTGGTGTTGGAGGAAAGAGTGATCAAATATGCATAGAGGAGAGACTGCCTCAGGAGCACTGGCATGTAGTATCTTCTCTGAGGTAGTGATGGTGACACATGGGGTAAACATCTGATGGATATTGGGGAATGGGTTGGTTCAACATGGAATCACTTTTAGGAGAGAAGCTGATCATGGACATTCTGTTCTAACCATGGCAGGCCTGTGTAACCTTAGAAAATGTGATCATTTTCTTTTCCCAGGAGTAGTAGTTTTGTAGTGCAGCTCAATTTGCGCTTATAACTTCCATAGGTAAAGCGTGACATTCACCCATACTCTGGTTTTGCTCATATGCTTTTCCCCATAAGCAACTTGCCTCTTCAGTGCTAGTTGTTGGGGTGGTTAATGTACACATTTTATTAGTGGGTATGCTGTAGTTGCTACAGCTGAGCCCTGTGCACTTCCCTGAGGTGCCTAATCGATGGTGCTATAATGAGAACAAGCACAGATTCAGGAGAAAGATGTGTGGCATCTTAACTTAATAGGTCTTGCTTCAGTCACCTGCACCCAGTGTGGCTGGTTAGGTGTATAGGCCTAGTTGTGCCCCCTTCTTCCTGACTTTTCATACAGCTGTTTGTTTAAGGATCACCAGGCATTGCCATGATTAATCTACATGGGCCATGGGCTAATCTACCAGACTTCCTTCCAGTCTTCTTTGTAATACTGTTTTTTCTTACCTCTTGTTTCTTTTATGTAGAGTTCCCAGGGGCCACTCCATAGGGAGATGGTTTATATACCTGTCCTGAACTGTGCAAATGAGATGCTGGAAAAATCCTGATTGCTTTCTCAGGTTGACATGGAAAGATGACCTCAGAAATTTTCAGTCCAGTTGAGGGGCATGGTCTAAGGTCCAGACCTCCTGGCCCCAGGGTTGACTGACTCTGTTGAGGCCTTTTTGTTCATCTGCCTGTCATTCAACACAGAGTTTCTTGTCTGCAAAAGAGCTTGAGCCTCTCAATATGTGACTGGCACTGAGTGGAGGATGTTCTAGTCCCTCACTACCCCTGATCTCCTACACTATCTCTAGATTATGTTTGGAACTTCTCTGCCACTCTTTCAGCCCTTGAGCCTAGGAACTCTGAAAAATCTTACATCCAATGTTGTAATTCCAGGCACACTGTATAAGGTACAGTAGCCTGCATTGCTTACAATGAGTGGAATGTTGAGTAAAGGTCATCCCAGGCATAGGTGTCAGAATGCAAATGCAGGGAGGTGTGTCTGAACTGTTTCTGGGGACTACAAGGTGTGTTTTTCATGGGAATTGTAAATGTGAGTATAGCACGTGGGCCTGGAATGGCTCTGTACAAGTTAAGATTTTCTTGTGAAGATGTGGGAACAATGGGAGGTTGGGACAGAGAAGGAAAGAGATCTGACTCCACCGACTTCTTAAAGGTTTCCTGTGACTAAGGCAAAGAAAACAGACTGTGGTGTGTGAGTGAGGTAATAGGAAAATTAGTGTCCTCCAAATGTCCATCCAGGTAATGTTTGCTGGTGTGTGGAGCAGTGTAGGTGCTGAATAATTGGAAAATGTAGGTGGATTCTGGATCTCTTGATTAACTGGTGTCAAGGAACAAACTTAGAATGATTTCATTAAACTTCTCATTTCCAGCAACACTTCATTCCATAAAATAAAATAGGTGTACCATTGGACTGGATTGAAGAAATTTTCTTTATATACAGAGAATGATTAAAGAAGGCAAAAACAGCAAAAAGCAGATTGGCTATCCCAAGCTGCTTTCCAAGTAAGAAGAATGGGGAAACCGAAACAAAAAAGGACTGTGGGTGATTTGTTATCTCAGGGTATTTCAAGTTGCTTTCTCTTCTTCATGTTTTTTTTTCCCTCTTTGGTAATACTGGTGCCTCTAGTATTTGAAGCACATCTCCATCTCAGGTTTTTTCTTTATGTAGGGATTAACTTCAAAATCGTTTCCAAAGATACTGGCATTTTAGGAAAATTGTGCTAACCCCAGATTTTCTGATTTTAAGGGTAAAGAAAAAAAGTGAATGTTAAGGGTGATGGTAAGATTTCTGGATTTGTTAGGAGTTGAGAAGAGAAAGTCTGTTGTAGGAACAATTTTAGTGAAGATATCAACAAATTGAAGTTAACCATGTTGAAAGTATGAATCTTTCAGAAAGCATTAATAGAAACACGAAGAGAGCAGGTGTACATGCACACGTACTCTGGAGAAAATTCCTGATGAAGACATGCAAAAGCTGGTAGCCATGGTATGCCTTGGAGTGCACCTATGCCTTTGTTGATTGCAGTACAGAAGGGTAATTGTAACCACAGGATGATTGTGCTCTTACCAACCTTGAAAGATGAGGCTGATCTGGGTTTCAAGTATAACACCTGGGTGGAGATGGTGTCCATCACAAAAACAGCCATTTGAGAGATGGTCTGACAGGTTACCAATGCTTCTAAAGGATGAAGGCCTTGAGATGGAATCAGAGGCCTAGAATAACTGCTGCAGGTTGACACTTTAACCACAGATGGTTCTTTTATTCACTCAGCTACAGTTTTGGTAAAATTTTCTTATAACCCTTGAGGTGTCTGAGAAGTTTCAGATTGCCTAAATTTGGGGTACCAAGTCATTACCTAGGAGAACCACTTGCCTCTGTGGAAGGCGAGTGGGACAAGGTTTGGAATGAAGGATAGCAGGTGAGGATGTTGTGACTGGTGAGAGACGTCAAGTAAACCATTAGTGGTATGGACCATGGGAGTCAGGGAATCAATGACAGTTCTTAACGGCAAAAGTAGGAGCACAGTCATCATAGCCTTCAGAGTACTCCATAGGTAGCTTCAGAGAGTGTGTGCAACTGTGTCCAGTTTGCACCCACCACTCTGGATAGGGTGCACTGAGGTGTATAAGGAGGGCAGAGAAGTACCCATATTGTTGGACTAGAGGGTAGAAATAGGTGAGGATTATGTGTGTGAGAGTTATGGACTAAATTGTGATATGCACTTGGAGGGAGCATGGGAAATGCTGGTCCTGTGGACTTACTGTTGATGACATGAAGATGAAAGGTGAGCCCATATATGGTTAACAATACCATGTGGAGGACATTTGTGCAATTGACTGACATGAGTGGATACAGCTCAGTATGCCCATTCCAGGAGTTAGATTGTGTCTGCCTGCTCACGTCCAACCGGTGATGTTGGAGGAAACAGTGATCAAATATGCATAGAGGAGAGACTCCATCTCAGGAGGTTGGCACCTGATAGCCTCTCTGAGGTGGTGAGGGTGACACATGGGGTGCCAGAGGAGGGATGTAGAGCAATGGGTTATGTCAACCTGGATCATTCCTAGGAGAGAAGCTCATCATAGGTCCTTTGTCCTAACCATGGCAGGCCTGTGGGACCTTTGAGGATGTCAGCATCTCCTTCTACCAGGAGGAATGGGTGTTCCTTAATGCAGCTCAGAGGCGCTTGTACCTCCATGTGATGCTGGAGAACTTTGCACTTGTAACCTCTGTAGGTAAGTCCGTCACACTCATCCAAACTCTGGTCTTTGCTCATCTTCTTTTTCCCAGAAGCAGATGTCTCTTCAATGCTAGGTGTTGGGCTGTGTTAACTTACCCACTTTTTTTCTGTGGGTGTGTTGTGGTTGCTACAGCTGAGCTGTGTGCATTTCCCTGAGCTCCCTAACAGCTGCTATTGTAATGAGTACAAGTACCAATTTGGCGGGAGAGTGTTTAACAGTCCTTAATAAGTCTTGTCTCGCTCACTTACTCCATGACTGGATACCTGCTTAGGTCCATATTTCTTATTATGCCTCTTTTTCCTGACATTTCATTACAGCTGTCTGCATGATTATCACCAGGCGTTGCTGGTCACTTGACCATTGTATTGTTCTGTCAGACCTCTTTTTAGTTGTCTTTGTTACATTGGTGTTTTCCTCCCTTCTCTTGAGTACTGAGTTACCCAGGGCCACTGCTGATATGTTACATACCCTATTATCTGTAGGTAGTTGTTTTGCATACCTCTCCTAAACTGTGTGAGTTGGGTGCTGGAAAAATCCTGGTAGCTACATTGGATAGACACAGAAAGATGGTCTGAGAAATGTTCGGTCCTGATAGAGGTCATAACATCTGGGCTGTTTCTATTTAATAATGAAAGTCTCTTAGGTCTTTAGTGTTCTTCATGCAATGCACTCTGCCCTCTACACTGTCTCCAAGAGAGGCCTACACCTATTATGTTTTGAGATGAGAACATACCCTTCAATATTGCCCATTTGTAGTTCGAGCTTTTTGGACAGTGTGCCTCAGGCTGTCTTTTCTAAATTTAGGTCTTTTTAAAAATTAACATAGTTATACTGGCGTGAGTTGTGACATTTACTAAAGTGGTTTAGTATATCTTAGTTAAATTCACCACTATCCCCATCTTTCTCTTTCAATTCTCCCCCTTTTTGCGGAGCCATTTCAACAGTTCTCACTGTTTTACTTTAAAAAGTTTTTATTATCCAGTTGTTGTACTGGGGGCATACTGTGATATCTGCAAAAGTGCATATTCAGACAGTCTTTTATATACCATGCACTTGTCACCACCTGATGGGATTTTTATTGAATAAGATTGTGTGGAAAGCTGAGCAATGGTTGCTCATGCCTGTGATCATAGCTATTCAGGAGGCAGATATCAGGAGGAACAGAATTCATAACTACCCCAGGCAAATAGTTCACAAGACCCTGTCTTGGAAAAAATGAACAAAAAAAAGGGCTGCTGGAGTGCTGAAGGTGTAGGCCCTGAATTCAAGCTCCAGTACCGAAAAAAGAAAAAGAAAAAACAAACAACAACAGAAGAAGAAAATCAAGATTGTGCTGTGATTTGGGGCATTTTCCTTGTACTTCATGGAGTGGCATTACCTGAACGTGTTTTACCACTCATCCCTGTCCTCCATGTCACCTCCTTTCCATGCTATTTGCAAGCCAGTTGTGTGAAGCAAACTCTTGGGCAAATTGAGTCCTGCTTCCATTTTCTGAAAACATTCCTATAGTGTAGGATGTGTACATCAGTGATACAGTGCATTTTTTGCCACTCACAAGCCCTGGGCTTCTCTCAGTAAGTCCATAATAAATAAAAAGCTTACAACCCTTGTAATATTATGGCTTGGCCCTGCTCCCACCAGTGTCTACATGCATTTCATTGTGCTTTCTCTGCTTTTAGGTTGTGTACATAGAGTAGATGATAAGGAGGCATCGATGCCCACTGTTTGTCTGGAAGAGGTGTCACACTTGAGGACTCCAATGGCATGTCCATCCACTGAGAAGTTTCACCCCTGTGACATCTGTACCTTTGTCTTGAAAGACATTTTACACATGGCTGCTCCACTTGTGCAGAAGCTGTACATGACTAGAGAATGTGCAATCCTAGTCCAGAAGCATCACACTGCAGAGAATCCTTTGAAGTGGGACATGGACAGGAAATCATTTCAGAAGAGCTGTGAATTATTTGTGTCCAGGAAATTGTTTAATTGTAATGAGATTTGGAGGTATTTCCCAGCTGTTTTTGACCTTTTGAAACCCCACGTCATTTGTAATGATGAGAAGCCAAATGAAGCTGAATTAGAGGAGACCTTTAACAATGGAAAAAGTTGTTCCAGATTGGTTAACAGCAACAAGGCTTCCAGCCATAAAAATGTGGTTTTTTATAACCTGGCACTCCACAATGCAAAAAAGCTTTATGAGAATAGGAAGCATGAGAAAAACTTACATGATGTCGACTCACTTGGTCAGCACCAGAGAGTTCACACTGGAGAAAGGCCTTATGAGTGTAGAGAATGTAGGAAATCCTTTAAGGAAAGAAGGGCCCTTATTGTACACCATAGAGTTCACACTGGAGAAAGGCCTTATGAGTGTAGAGATTGTGCAAAATCTTTTACGCAAAGAATTTCCCTTATTGTACATCAGAGAGTCCACACTGGAGAAAGGCCTTATGAGTGTACAGACTGTGGAAAATTTTTTACGCAACTGCATGTACTTAAAGAACACAGGAAAGTTCACACTGGAGAAAGTCCTTTTGAGTGTAGAGAATGTAGGAAATCCTTTAAGACAAGAATTGCCTTTATTGTACACCAGAGAGACCACACTGGAGAAAGGCCTTATGAGTGTAGAGATTGTGGGAAATCCTTTAAGGAAAGCAAGGCTCTTGTTGCACACAAGAGAGTTCACACAGGAGAAAGGCCTTACGAGTGTAGAGAATGTGGGAAATCTTTTAAGTACATAAGTGATATAAATAAACACCGGAAAATCCACACTGGAGAAAGGCCTTATGAGTGTAGAGATTGTGGGATTTCTTTTAAGGAAAGACATGACCTTGTCATACACAAGACAGTGCACACTGGAAAAAGGGCTCATGAGTGTAGAGTATGTGGGAAATCCTTTAAGCGAGGACGTGACCTTACTGAACACCAGAGAGTCCACAGTGGAGAAAGGCCTTATGAATGTAGAGAATGTGGGAAATCCTTTAAGGGAAGATCTGCTCTTAGAAGTCATCAGAGAGTTCACTCTGCAGAAAGGCCTTATGTGTGTACAGAATGTGGAAAATCTTTTAAACATGTAAGTGTTGTAACTGTACACCGTAAAGTCCACACTGGAGAAAGGCCTTATGCGTGCAGAGAATGTGAGAAATCTTTTAAGCGAAGAAGTGAACTTACTGCACACCAGAGAGTCCACAGTGGAGAAAGGCCTTATAAATGTAGAGAATGTGGAAAATCCTTTAAGGGAAGATCTGCTCTTTCAAGTCATCAGAGAGTTCACTCTGGACAAGGCCTTGTAAATGTGGAGAATGTGGAGAATCCTTTCTGAACATAGGTACCCTTTTGGTACACCTGAGAGTGCACACAGACACAGGTTTATTGAGTGTGCACACAGACACAGGTTTATTGAGTGTGGACAATGAGGAAAATTCCTGAAACAGGGTCCCTTAATTTATACTAGAAAGTCCACAGCGGACAAAGGCCTAGTGAGTGAAGGATATGGGAATGTGTTTGAGCACACAATCAGTCTTATTCATCACCAGAAATCTCTCAGTGAGGAAAACCCTGTTATGATTTTGAGTTGTGCATATGTATTTTGAAAAGTAACTTGAATTGTTTTTCCCCAACCCAGAGTCAAGCAGTCTTCTACACAGTTCACTTGTCACACGCTGGCAATATTTTACTGAATAGGGTTTTGTGGGGATTTTGGCAGATTTTTATGGCTTCTCATGGATGATAGTACCATGAAATTGCTCATTGTGTTAATGATCACCTGAAGATCCACACTGAAGAAACACCTTATGAGTGTAAAGAATGTGTGAAATCCTTTAAATATAGAAATTCCCTTATTATATACCAGAAAGTCTACACTGGAGAAAAGCCTTATGATTGTAGACAATGTGGGCAATACTGTCTGGTGGCCCTTACTGTACACCAGAGAGGCCACACTGCAGTAAGGCCTTAGGAGTTTGTACATTTGATTAGCATTATAAGAGTTGTTCTTCAGGTTCTGGACTCTACAAGGCTTTGACCAGAAGGAAATCATTTCTGCACTATTTTAGAGATGCCATTTACTTCTACCACCATGAACTTCAGGGGAAAAAACAAAACATAACAAAAAACTACCATGACATGCTAAGGCAAGGAAGATATGTGTGCTTCTGTTGCAAATTCTGTGGGCAACTTTATTTGGTTTGCTGTGTGATCTTGCCATGTAACAATACCTGTATGACCAAATGTACTCAGTTCTGATTAACTAGAGGTTTGCAAGGAAGGCTTAGCTTCTTGGACGATTTTGGTGTCTTATGATACTTGTAGTTGGTATTTTTACCATCAAGTCTCTAATTGGTAACTGTCTGCCTGAGATTGCTAGGGTTTGTGCAGTAATAAAGGCATTATTTTTTTGCATCTGCGTTTAGTCTTGCTTGTTCTGTTATCTGAAATAGGTCACATTACATAGAATTCATATCTGTGTATGTGAGATGATGGAGAGTTGTTTGGAACCCTCAGTTCTTTGTACCTCAGTAGGTAGTGTATAATGGCTGATGATAGTTTCTGAGAGAGGTTTGGTTAATGTGGATGACTGCCAAAGACCACCCAGAAAATAAAAGAACACTTTCTACTCCTATTGTGTGACCTGGAAGCTTGCATATTTTATGAGATCATAGTTCATCTGAGGAGTGGTCACTTTTTAGGTCAGCATTTATTGTGTCTGAATAGTATGAATTTATGCGTTATGTCTTACATCAGATGTCACATAATCCCAAGCAATCTGAAAAAGATTATTTCTCAAGATTACAGAAACATCTGTATAGTCTATGGTCCATAATTCCACCAAGTAATGATAGTACAACTCTACAGACCAAGCCATGTGCACATGGGCCTTTGAAGGACATTATGGAACTAACCTATACCACCAAGCATGAGGATGCAAATAGTGTACTCAACATGGGATTGCTGAACATGCAGTCATGATCAAGGATACACAGTGTGAGGGTAAAGTCCTAGCAGGGGTAGGTTGTCTCCAGCACTCAGCAGCTTCTCATAGGGACATCTGTTATGACGTCTTTTTTTTAAGCCTCACCATGGTTGCTGACACCTTGTTGGCCTCCTCCTAGAGCAATCTGGATCAGGTAAATTCAGCATTTTTCCACCAGACTGCCCTCAACCCATCTGAGTGGTTGAACCAATTTTTAGCTCCTGATTGAGCCACTACACTCATTCCTTCTGTCCAGAGTTTGGGGAACATGAGTACATCTATGTACGCTCAATGCTTGACTACTGACCTAAGCTTCCTCTTCTCCCCCCACCACACACACCTTTTTTTATTTTTTGAGGTACTGGGGCATTGAACTGGGGCTTGATGCTGCATGGCAGGCTTTCTTATCACTTGAATCAGGCCTCCAGTTCATGGAGTCCTGATTTCTTAAGCGACTAAGCTGAGGTTGTAGGGGGTCCTCCATCCCTAATGTTGTTCCCAACTGATAGTTGCACTAATCTATATGTTGTTTTGCAGCAGAAGATGGACAGTCAGACATCATCTAAACTCAGAGCCAGGAATCCAAATATAGTGTTATCTCATGCTCATGAAAGGGAGGTGAACTGGGAGTTAATCTCCAACCCATGGGTGTAGGTGATGGGCACCATGGCCTATGTGGCTATGGAATCGTGTGGGGACAGGACTATCTGGTAGGGTTGTGATCATGGTGCCCATGGGTGACATACATGATGTGGATGTTGATGTCTGGGTGTAACCAAGCAGTGTGATGCTGAGCCTTGACCTTTGGTTTTTCGTGTACTTAAGACTCACCCATTTTGTGGGCAAAATAGGCATGTTTTAGTACAGCAAACAGGCAGGTTTATGGCAAGTTGTCATTAGAAATGGTGAATTGGACTAAAAGAGAGAAACACTTGGGCTAATGTGAGCATGAGAATTACTGGAGAAAGTTTGTTACTAGTATGGGGTCATAAGTAGTACTATAGGTGATTGGGGCCAATGATGTTTGAGGTCCATATGTGGTTCTTGGAGGCTAAGATTGAAGCAAAGACAGAGTTGGACTGTGGCAGGAAGGCAGGGAGGGGGAAGAGAGATTAATGACTGCTACAGTAAAACAAAGAAAAACTGGAGTTGGGCAATGTTACCTGGAGACCAGAGAATGGTCACTCCCTCCAGAGTTTAAAGCAACCAATGGAATAACGTGATTATGTATGACACAAGCTATTACTTTCCCCTCCCATTTCTGTAACCTGCTCTAAATGGTATATAAGGAAACTCCCCTTTGTTCTTGGGGTTCAGCCTTTGGACTCCAGACCTCTGATCGCTGCCAGCTTGCTTAATAAACTTGCTTCCCGAAAACTTTGGTGCCCTCTCTGTCTCTGTCTGAGCCCTCCTGCACAAGAGAAAGAGACTGCTAAGGCACTATGAGCAGCTTTTTCTGGCAGTGAGGACTGGAAGTGGATGGTGATCGTTTTACATCGTATTTCCATTTTCTATGTATTCTGGAATTCTGGTGCTGAATAATTACATGTTGGAATGAGGGAGAGCAGGGGATGGATGAGTTAGGCAGTGAGGCAGCTCTGCCTTTCCACGGGCACAGTGTCAGTAGGCTAACTCTCCACTGATGTATAATCACTAGATAGCAGTTCCTTTTGAGCAGGCCTGAAGAGTTCTAACTCTCCATACAGCCTTCATGACAGGATTCTCTGCTGGTGGAGCCACAGGGAGGCTATATAAAAAATGAAAACATTGAAATAATGTCATGATTCTTACCAGGGTATACTTGTATGAAATTAAAAAACCAATAGCAAGAGAAAGGGTACACTTACAGAATGAACATGTGCTTTTGAATGACCAGTGGGTAATTGAAGCAATCAGGAAATGAAAAAACTGACAGAATGAAATGAAAAGAAAGCCTGAAGTTGAACAAAACCAAAATTAAAGAATAATCAATATGAGATTCAATCTGGAAAAAAAAACAGTAGAAACACATAAATCAGTAAACACCTCTCAATCGTAATCCTAAATGGAAATGGACTTAACTCTCCAGCCAAAAGACACAGGTTGTCAGATTGGATTAAAAGTCAAGGTCCAACAATCTGTTGGACCTCAAAACCAAAGACAAACTAAAAGTAAATGGTTGAGAACATTCACCAGCTCTGCCTTTAACTACCAGAATGTTGGTGTGTTCACTCCACATAGACCCATAACTATGACACAGTAGTAACTAATGAGCAAGCCTCAGGTTTTTTAACTTACTCCAATGCCTTCATGACAGCTTTGCCTGCTGGTGGAGGATCCTTTCTTGGAAGGTCGGGCTGCCTTTGAGAATCCATACCTGTAGGCCTATGGAAGCCCTGAAACTGAGCCAAGGTGACACCCTCAGGAGCAACCTGGATGGCAGGACCTCCACCTGGCCTGGATTCTTCTCTCCTGTTTCTAAAGAAACTACAAATTGTCCCAATGTCACTCCAGCTCTTCAGTCGTTAGTGCATGAAGATCATTACATAGTGTTTATTTGCCTTCTAGATTGGAGACATGCACATTTCTCTGAATGAATCTATGCATAGTGTGTCCTTTGAATCAGTAGCCTTTAGGAGCATCTGAAATATCTTCCACTTCCTAGAGCATCCAGTGCTGCTTAGCATGAATGATACATCTCTAAATTTTTGGGTGCCCATTTGTAGAGAACTTCCCAGAAATTTGCTTCTGGTCCCTTTAAGAAAAGAAAGGCTCACCCTTACTGTATAGGGTTCCACTTTCATTTCTAGTGCCCTTGATTCATGTCCAGTGCTGCTCCAGAAAGGACAGTGCACACGAGAGGTATGGTACCCAGCATGCTGTTGTCCCCATTGTGATTGTACCAATTAGCTTCCTGAAAAGGGTCTTTCTCATGATTGGATGGCTTGTTCTAGGTTGGCCTGATGTCCCAGTACTTTCACAAATTTTAGCAGATTTGGGGTCAGATTGATAAGCAGAGTTTTTGGAGCTGTGTCTACCAAGATGTGGCATGAGGGTAAGGTCCCACAGGAGAGGATATCTGCATCACACAGCAGTAGTAGAGTGTCCTGGTCCTCCTGTAGTGTCTCCTTAGAGCTGCAGTGCTTGGTATTGGATCACACAGTCAGGAACCCACAATAGCAATGCACCTGAGTATAGGGATGGTTGACATACCTTGCATTGTCACCACATTTTAGGTCCTTCATTTCCAATTGGTGAGGTCCTCCTGTGTGAGGACATCAGTTTAAACCCATATTTTCTCAGGTGCCAGAGGCTGTTCCAGGTAGAAGGACCACTCTGTGTAAGGGCACACACAGTGTGACTGTTGAGGGAGTTGGAAACATGCTGGTCATTTACGGCATTTTACCTTAATTCTCAGTGCATCGGGAGCCATGGTATATTGTGAACAAAAGTACCAGGTCTACATTAGGCTTTTCAAAGTTTCCCAAAAGCTGTCGCAGTTACAAGGCAGAGGATGACACTGAAGTATAGGGAAGTTGATTCCTGTGTGTAGTGTCTCAGAGCACTCCAGAGTCAGCACTGAGGTCTGAGGCTCAGCTAATTCCATGATCCTGGCCTCCTGGCTCCATGGTGGAATGAGCCTGTGGAGGCCCTTTCAGTCATCTAACTGTCACATAACATTGACTTGCTTTTCAACACAAGAGCTTTGTGTCCCTAAACACTTGGCTGGCACTGACTGAGTTGAGGATGTTCTGGTCCCCAACTCACCCTGCTCTTACACACTGTCTCTGGATTATGTCATACTCCTCTGCCATTATTTCAGCATTTGGGCCTAGGGACTATAGAAAACCCTCAGTCCAAAGTTCTAGTTCCAGTCACACTGTGTAAGGCACTTTGGCTTGAATTGTTTGCAATTAGTAGAATGAGGGGTGAAAGATTATTCCAGGCACAGATGTCAGAATGTAAATCCTGGGGACCACAGGATATTTTTCTCATAGCAGCTGAGAATGTGGGTGTGGCAGATGGGTCTAGAATGACTGTAGAAAGTCAAGATTTTATTGTGGAGATTATAGGGGAATGAGAGGTTGTCACAGAGGAGGAAGGGGATCTGTCTCAATTCTTAGCAGTCAACAGACTGTGTAGTGTAGATGTGGTTATAGGAAGTTTTATTTCAGAGTCTGCTGCATAGGTCCAGGTAATATTTGATGGTGAATTTAGTAGTGTGGTCAGGAAGAATTAGAAAATGTGCGTGGATCCTGGATCTCTTAATGAATTAGGCTTCTAGTATCAGAGGACAAAGATTTTAATGGATTTTTTAGGTACTAGTGTCCAGAAACACTTCATTCTGTCAAACAGATTAAGTGTACCATTGGAATGGATAATGATATTGATTTTATATACAGACAATAGCTAAAGAAAGAAAATGCAGGACACCTGTGATCTTAGCTCCTCAAAGGGAGATATATGGAGGATTGCCTTTTGAATCCAGCCCATAGAAGTAGTTTAAGAGACCTTATCTCAAAAAATGCCCCATCAAAAAAAGCTGGTGGAGTGGCTCAAGTAATAGAGCACCTGCCTAGCAAGCATGAGGCTCTGAGTTGAAACACCAGCACCATGAAGCAAAGAAGAAAAGAGCTGAGACAAAAATGCAGATTGGCCATTCCAAAGTTGCAAGATAAACAGGGAGACAAAACAAGACAGTGCCTATTTATTTAATATCAGGTTACTTCAGATAAATTTTTCTGTTTTTTACTTTTACTTTTTGGTAGTACTGAGGTCTTCTATCTTTTGAACCACAAGTCCAGGTCAGGTTACTTTTTTATGAAAGAATTAAGTTCATTATCATGTCACCAGAAATTGGTGTTTTTGGGAAATTGGACTAATCCCAGATTTTCTAATTTTAAGGGTAAAGAAACAGGTGGATGTCAAGGGTGAATCTATGTTTTCTGGATTTTAGCAGTTGTGAAGAGAAAGTCAGTTGTAGGAGCAGTTTTAGTGGAAATATATAGCCATTGGATTTTCACCATCCTAATAGTGTGAATCAATAACATGATTTAAAGAAAGACTGTGAATGTTTCAAGGAACCATTAAAAGAAACATGAACAGGGCAGGTAACTGTGCAGGTGTGGAACTCTGGAGAAAATTCGTGAGGGAAGCATGCAAAGGTAGTGGCTAGTGTTTGCCTTGAGGTTTTTCTATGCTGTGTGGATTGCAATAACAAGGGGAATCCTAATTGTACAATGATTGTGCTCTTGCCAGCCTGTTGATCTGGGTTTTAGTTAAGGACTGAATTTGGGGGGTGGACTCCATCACAAAAGCAGGTATGTGAGTGGGTATGTTCTAATAGTCAAGATGCTCTTGCAGGTTACCAGTGCTTTCAAAGGATGAGGTCCATGAGCTGGATCAGAGATCTATAATAACTGCTGGGAGTTGGCACTTCAACTTCAGATAGTCCTTTTATTCACTCAGCTTTTTGCTTGGTAGAATTTTCTTATAACCCTTGAGATGTCTAAGAAGTTACAGGTTATATAACTGTAGGGGTGCAACTTGTCACCTGGGGTAGCCATTTTCCGATGGTGGAAGGCGACGGGCACAGGGTTCAGAATGATGAATAGCAGTTGATGATGTTGTGACTGGTGAGACACATCAAGTACACCATTATTGATAAGGGCCATAGGAGTCTGGAAATCAAATACAGTTCTTAGTGGCAAAGGTTGGTGCAAGGAGCACAGGCATTGTAGCTTTCAGAGTAGTGTGCCTCTCACAGTGGGCACAAGTGTGTCCTATTTGTGACACCCACACTGTGGATACTGTATGCCTATGTGAATAGGGAGGGCAGAGAAGTACCTCTATTTATGGTGCTAGAGGATGGAAATTGCTGGGGGAGTGTGTTTGAGAGAGCTCTGGTCCAAAAAGTGAGGTGCACCTGGAGGGAGCATGTAGGATGCTGGTCCTATGGACTTGCTGTTGGTTTCACAAAGCTGAAAGGTGAGTGCACATTAGGTTATCACTGAGCAGTAATATCTGGAGAACAGTTGTGCAGTTGACTGACATGAGTGGATATTGCTCTATGTGCCAGTTTCAGGAGTTAGATTGTGTCTCCCTCCTCAGATATATTAGTGTTGTTGGAGGAAAGAGTGATGAAATATGCATAGAGGAAAGACTGTGCCTCAGGCGCACTGGCATCTGGTATCCTCTCTGAAGTGGTGAGAGTGATATGTGGGGCAAACAGATGATGAATATTGTTGAATAGGTTGGGTTAATGTGAATCACCTCCAGGAGAGCTGATCATAAATGTTCTGTTCTCACCATGGCAGAGCTCTGTGACCTTTGAGATGTGATCATTTCCTTTTCCCAGGAGGAATGGGAGTTCCTTAGTACAGCTCAGAGGTGCCTGTACATCCATGTGATGCTATAGAACATTGCACTTAAACCTCCATAGATAAAGTAATCACATTCATCTGTACTCTGCTCTGTGCTCACCTTCTTTTCCCCAGAAGCAGCTCTACCTCCTCACTACTGGTAGTTGAGCTCTACTAACTTACTCACTCTTTCCCATGTGTGTTGTGGTTACTACAGCTGAGCTCTGTGCACTTTCCTGAGTAGCCTTAACAGCTGATGCTATAATGAATTCAACATATAGATTGGGAGGAATATATGTGGAGGTCATCTTAACCAGGTCTCTTTTGGTCACCTGCTTCCCATATGTGTCATATATGACTACTTCTGCCCCTTTTTCCTGACATTTCATACACCTGTCTTAAGGATCACCAGGAATTGTCATCCTCAATGTCCACTTGGCCCATGAGCTATTCTTCCAGACCCCCTTCCAGTATCCATTGTAATACTTTTTTCTTTCCTCTGGTCCCTTGTGTGCTGGGTATCCCTGTGCCACTCCTCTCCTGCCGGTCTGTAGCTAGTTGGTTTGTGTTCCTGTCCTAAACTGTGCAAATGGTGTGCTGCTAAAGTCCTGGTTGCTACATCAGACAAACATGGAAAGATGGTCTCAGAAATCCTTAGTCCAATTGAGGGGCACCTCGTAGAGGTCATGACTTCTGGGCTGTTTTCCTATCAGATGAGGAAACTGGCTTATGTCTTTAGTGTCCTATCTGCAATCCATTGCACCCGCTGGAACATTCTCAAACATTGACTCACACCTAATAATATTTGAGTTATTAACATATACTTAAATATTGCCCAAATGCAGATTGAGTTGTTTTATTGGATTTGTACTCAGACAGTCTTTTTTAAATTTAATTTTATTTGGTAATATATTACAAAGTTGTACCAGGGATTCATTGTGAGAATTCTAAAAGTGCCTACAGTATATCTCAGTTACATTCCCCTGCTCCATCGTTTTCCTTTTTACCCCTCCCTTTTTCT